TGGAAACAGAACCCTTGATTGCGTACAGTGGAAAATGTAGATGTTGGAAGCTGTATTTGCAGAATCTTTAAAATTTAAAAAGTCTATTTGGGGTCTATTTATCCAGAACTTTTAACTAGTACTCAGCCCCAAATGGTGACTTTTTTGGGTGCAGATGACCCAAAACTTGATTAAAGGGCTGAATGGAACCTCTTTGCAACACACTTGAAGTTAATAAGTTAATTTGCTTCCTTGCATGGGATCCACAGAGAAGGGGGTCCAAAAGTCAAGGTGGCGGGTATGACCACACATGCAAAGCATATCAGAGGGACAGCCCTTTGATTGTGTGGTCAAAGCCATCATCTTGACTTCTTGGACCTCCCCCTCCACGGTTCCCCTGCAAGGAAGCAAATTAACCCACCTGCCATTGAAGGGGTGGGGCTTCAATTGTACAGTTAACAGCTGCTGTTTTGGGAGCCTTTCCACGGGTAACCCTGATTCTTTGCTCAAGTGTTAACGGTTCCCTATCTTGTCCAAGCTGGCATCAGGGAGGGAGGGAGGAAGGAAGGAAGGAAGGAGAAAGGGAGAGGGAGGGAGAGAGGGAGGGAAGGAAGGAAGGGAGGAAGGAGAAAGGGAGGGAGGAAGGAAAGAGAAAGGGGAGGGAGGGAAGGAGGAAGGAAAGAGAAGGAAGGAGGAAGGAAGGAAATGGAGAAGGGAGGGAGGAATTAGAGGAAGGAGGGAGGGAGGGAAGGAAGGGGGAGAGAAAGACCCCCCCCCAACAATGCAAAGGGCACATAACAGTATGTATCTGCTGTGGGGGCATCCAAGGGGGGAAGTCCCCCCAAGAGAAAAGAAAGACCCCCCACCCCCACCCCCCAATGTGTTGCAGCCAATTTCCCGCGGGACTTGAGATCCTTGGGGTTTCCTCCCCTGGCCTGGGGTTGCCAGCAGACTTCCGGCTTTGCCCAGGGCTGCTGGGGAAGCAAATTTGGAAGGCGTTTTGACCGCAGCCTGCGGTGGGGGGGGGAGGAAGTCCCTCCAGGTCACCCTGGAAGTGAGCCCAGCATTGAGATCCCTTCTTCCCGTCTGAAAGGGAGGAGGAAGGGGGGAGGGGGGAGATAATGGCAGGTAATTCATCCCTTTCTGAAGCTAAGGGAAAGGAATGAGCCTTCCAATCTGGAGCTGGTCCCCATTCTCTGTCGGTTTTCTGGAAACGTTTAAAAACAGAGTTGTTCCGGAGGGCCTTCCCTCGATGCAGTTGGACTTTCACATTTTTTTTCTCGCCGTTCTGGTGTCCTGGTGCTTCTGCGTGGGGGCTGGCGCACATCGTATCGTTATCATGTTGGTTGGCATGAACCTTACCGTGGGCGTTTTAAGTTTTGTTTACCTAGCCCAGGGTTTCTCAACCTTGGCAGCTTGAAGACGGTTGGACTTCAATTCCCAGAATTCCCCAACCACCCAAACTGGCCGGGGAAATCTTGGGGTGGGAGTGCACAAATCCTAATGATGGAAAGGGTGAGAAACCC